AGTTGGGTTTGCGTATCTACCCTTTAGTGTTTGAATTCTTGACGCACACAGAACAAAAACAGACAACCAGAGATCCTAAAGCAAACCATAAACCATAAAAAAGAAAAAAAAAAGGTCAATAGAATAAGGAAATGGGAAATAGCCACCGCGATAGGGCGCCCTCAGGAATATAAACACTTCATATTCGCCTAATCGGCAATTCTCTTCTCTCGCCTTCCTCAGATGTGATAGCTGTTAGTCTTATGAAGAATGAGAAAAGAAGAGCAAATACGTGATGATTAGCCCGCTTTACCATCCCCTTCTTCCATATATGCCCCCAATGGATGGGATTGTTGTAGTTTTTTATCCGCAAATTACCACTATATAACCATATCCGTATAGGATTAGATATTAATATCAATAATACCGTTTCCTATGTCGATTTCGCCTCTCCTAAAAGACATATGTGTATTCCTCTCTCCCACTCCGCTCGATAATGCCTCGATCGATGAGTTTTTCGATTGTGAGCTTGATGAGTCCCTCGTCGAGCGCAAAGTTAAACTTTTGCGATAAAATATTCGCGAAGAGCTCCTCGTGTTTCACGACGCCTTTGGGCTTGATGTATTTAATAATCGAAATCATCAAAAAATGCCCGAACTTCTGCCAAGGCTGCTCTTCCATAGAAGCGGTGGAGGCATCGTCGAAGCCGTTCTTCATGAAATGCTGAAAAGGCATCCGCGCGAACGGCGTCGGGCAGGTAAAGGCCGTATTCAACCGCACATAATCCTGCTTGAACAGCCCATTCGGGCTCCCGCCCTTGCCGGGGCTCGAGAACGTCGCCGCGCTCTGCTCGCGCGTGCCGGGCGAGGAAGGCGGGCTTGAGGCCCCCGTCGAACCCCCCGGGCGGGCGCGCACCAAAAGCGGAAACCCCTCCTGGCATAACCCCATCAACGACCTCGCCACCTCGGGGGCGTCGAGGTCGACCCCCACCTGCTGGCAAAGCTCCAAAATGGGAATCGGGCGGAGCGGGGCATCCGCCGCGCCCTCGCTTTTCCCCGGGGAATCACTCAGGTCGTCCATTTTAAGGAGCATCAGGCATTGCAGAAACGTCCCTGCGAGCTCCCACACCGCGCCGTCCGGGGTGAGTTGGGCGCGCAAACTCCCCTGCGCGAGGTGGTGCAGCCAGGCAAGACGCCGCGTCGGGCGAATCGTCTGGTAGAAAAGTTCAACATTCCGCGTTAATCGAACCAAAGAAGCGGGCAGGCGGAAGTTGAGAATCTCGCCAAACTTCGGCCAGCAACCGGTGGTCATGAAAAACAGATGAAACGCCATGCGGGAGAGGTCGGGCAGGCCGTTGAAATCCTCGGCGGAGACCGGCGGAAGGTTCTCCACCGTGGTGGAGGGCGTTTCCTCGTTTGGGCTCTCAAAATCGGGCCGGGGGGAATGCGAAACCTCCCCTTTGGATGAGACCCACAATTGATAGCGTTCGGTCAAATCTTCGGACTTCTCCTTGTCCCCTAACATCCCTTCGAACCGATGGGCGAACAAAGAGCCGTAAACGGCTTCAAAAAATTTCAAAAAGCACCGCTCGGCTGTGATATTGATGGAACGGCCGGGGTTTAGCAAGCGGCGCAAGAGGTGCTGGGCGTAGAAATGCCCAAAAAGCTCGTTGGAGGGAAAGTGCACGCTGGCAAAGACGATTTGCTCGAAATAATCATTCCCGCTGGTAAAAATCAGCGACGCGCGCGAAGTCGGCCTTGCGGGCGCGGGATCTTCCCGCTCGCCCCCTGCCTCCCCCTCTCGCGAGACTGCCAGACTATTAGTATCAGAATGTTGGATGGTATTCGAATTCGCGTCGTCTTCCGTCCGATAAACGAACTCCGTGGGTCGATAAGAAGCTATCGGTTTCATTTTCAGCTCCCCCAGCGGAAGTTCCCCGCGCTCCAGCTTCTTAAAAATGGCATCGGTGAATGCGGCGAGGTGCTCGGCGACGGGGGAATGGTATTCGGCCAACGCCGCTTGGAGGCCCTTGTCGATTTGCGCGCGGAAGACTGTGCGGTTTGTGGAAAAGCACTCGATCACGGCCCGCTCGAGGAGATAAATAAAGACAAGCAACTTTTCCACCGCCCGGTGGCAACCCGCGGCGGTCGCGGCCTCCGTGCGCCGCAAGCCGGCGATTTTCCCCGCCAGCGCGGTGGTGATTTTCTCGACGTTGGTGCGGAAAATCCCAACAACGGCGTCCAAGTTGGCCTGCGTGGTGCGCAAAAGAAGATCCCACACCAGCCCGAGCGTCCGGATCCCCTCGTCTTTGTCGGGTTCGCCGCCGCCCGCGTCCTCCCCCCTGGGCTCGCAGAAGGAATCGCGCCAGAGCAGCCCCGCGCAATCGCGCCGAAAGACCGCTATCCCGACCTCTCCCAACAGCTCCCGGAGGACGATCTGGTGGATTTGCAGGGCGGTTTGGGGGGGAAAATAGGCCCGCCCGCGCGCCTTTTCGCGCCGAATGGCCTGCTGGGCGTAGTTGAAATAATCCCACGCGGGGACCCCGCCTCGCAACATCGCGGCCGCCGCGCTGCGGTAAAACCCCGCCACCGCCCCCACCACCATCGGCTGTAAACGCGGCAAGTACTGCTGCGAAGTAAAAAGTAATTCGCTAAAGCGCCGAAACCGCGAGATCGACGGGGAGGTCGAAAACCCCGAAAAGCCCGACACCGGCGGCGGCTGCGAGGACGTCGGGCAATCCCCCGCGCGGTGGAGGGGCGGCTCGGCGTCGCTTTCGCCCCATTTGGCCCTTTTTCCCGATACGGCGGCCAAATCGCCTTTGCCGCCGCCGGCTTCGTCGGTTCGCGCGGAGGGGAGGGCGCCGTCGGTGGCGATATCCACCCGCAGTAAACACATAAACCCTTCGAGTGAGGCCTCGAAGACCGCCGGGACCTCGTTTAACGCGTCCATCCAAAACCCCATCGTCGCCTCAATGATGCCTTTGTAAATCGTCGCCTTGACCAAATAACGATAGACAAAAGAACTCCAAACCAGCTGAAGCTCCTCCATCGCGAAGGAAAAGCTCTCCCAGGTGTCCATCAAAAAATTAAAACACCGCACGGGAATTTCTTTATTCGCGGTGAGATCCACACCGAACCACTCCTCGTCGGCTTCCTCCTCCTCCGGGGGGGAAGAACTTTCATTGGTGATCGGATTTGACAAGCCGCAGGCTTGAGCAAATGAATTCAGCTCGTTGGTCAGATACATCGTGTAGTCTTTTAACATCTCCGTCAGCATTTCCTGCAAAGAATCCGCCTTCCCCTCGTCAAGGAGAATGGCAACCGCGCGGTAGACATCCTCCGGGGAGTACCCCTCGTAGCGTCGGCGTTGAAACCCATCCCCGTAGACCTTCGCGCGAGCAATCACATTTGTTAACATTTCCCGCACAAGCGCGAGCTTCTCGATGGCTAAACGTTCATGATTCAGGAGAAAATCCCTCCTCGAACCATTCACCCCTCCCGGAGCCTCTAAAATCGAACCTTTGAAAAGACTCATTTCCCTCCCCGCTATGCAATGTCTAAAATATGCGCTTATCCCTTTGTGTGGGTTAATCGTATGATTTTTTCAGATATTTATTTATATATATCAATATATCACGTTTTTTTTTTAGGCTAAACACGTGTAAATATAAAAAAAAAGAAGGGTAATCTGAAAAGCAACCCTAAATCTCTATTAAAATACTTAAAACCATTTTTGGGAGAAAAATGGAAAACGGAAAAGAAGGCATGAGACGATGACACGAAGATTCGAAAACGGGGCAAATCTAGCCCCTGATAAAAAAAAAGAATGGTATGAATAGCATAAATATGTATATGCATAGATATATAATTTAAAAGGGGATGCACCCTTTGATAAATAAATATCTGAGACGCTATCAGTTGCTTTTTCTGTTGCGCCGTATTCACTTTTTAGAATGAAACAAGAGTCATAGTCAAATAGTATGTAAAAAGTGAAAAAAAAAATGGATTGAAATGAATCTAGAGGTCAAGGTAAACCCTTTTCAACGTACATATATTGTAACTTCTGTAAAGACAGATCCCTAGTTCGATAGATAAATACAGATATGTATATATCCCCTCTTAATTCATATACTCGCCTAGAATAATTTCATAGTTCCTTGCCTCCTCCGACATCTGCTTCGCCTTGGCGATCCGTACTAGCTCTGGTAAGTCATCATTCTCGGAGAACACCGTGGAGAGAAAAATGAGCACGTGAAAATCGGCAATTTTCTCCGCAAAGGAATCATTCCGCCGCTTCGGGTCGTTCATATAGTTTTTTAAATTCTGAAACGTCGGCGGCGGCATCCCCGGGCGGGAAATCCGCATAAACGCCCCCCGCACCACCTCCGAGGTGAATTGCTGGACCGCGATATAGCTCGTAAACCATCGCGTATCCACCCGCGTGCAGGGCTCTTTGGTCACGCAGCGGCGATGGCCCCGCCCGTCAGTATCCTCCTGCGCGACCTCCAAAGGCACCTTCGACGCGATCACCCCCTCATTATTTACGCTATTATTTCCGGTATTCCCGTTATTCGGATTTGAATGGGACGGCGGGTTTTGCCGCTCTGTCGAACCCGCGGAAGCCGGGGGCTGCCCCGTCGTCGAAGAGGAAAGCCGCGAGGAAGGCGCACTCCCCCCCTCGGAAAATGAAAAAGAGGAAGGGGTAGAGGGCTCGTCTAAAAACCCTACGCGAAAGAGGTGCACGCACTGCGGAGAGGTCTGCCAGGCCTGGCATTCCACCATCCCGTCCGTCAAGTTCGGCGCGATGGTGAGGAGGACGCATTCATCCCCGTAAAGGCTTTGCTCGCGCGCGGAGAGCAGAAGCTCGCGAGCGCTCATCACAATCTTCTCGGGATCCCGCGGGGGGTGCGTGCAGATCGCCCCGACCCGTCGTAAACCCAACCCACTCGCGATCTGATCCACCCGCGGTAGCCTCGGATCGGGAATCATCTCGAAGGTAAAGCGATTGCCATGCTGCTCCGGCTCATACACGGCGTGGACCTCAATAACGGCCCCGATCGGGTCGTACAGGCCGTATAAAATCCCATACCGCTGCAAATTCCACCCCACCTGCGCGGCGAAACTTTGAAAGATATTCAACGAAGCCGCGTCCGCCTTCACGAGTTGGGTGCGGCTGGGCACCCATTTCACCCGAGTTCGCTCGATCGCCCCCATCAAGGCCGAGGAGGAAATAATCTTCCCGCGGACAAAATCACCCCCGACCAGAGTTTGATGTTCGAGCCCGTGAAAACGCCCAGTTTGGGGGCAAAGTTCCGTTAAATACGTCGGCTGCGCGCAGTCGGGGCATGGCGTGGAGTGGGGCCGCTCGGTGTCGCGAAGCTGCTGAAAGCGCCGTCGCCGCTCCTCCGCAAGCTCGCGGATCCCATCAGACATCGTGAACAATCACGTGCGCGCTCGTTTCTTGGTTTTTGTTTATATATATATATATATATATTACTATTCGTTATTCACTATTGATATTTTCTTTTTCCCTTACTTAAATTCTCTCACCCGTCACACCTACGCGCGCGTATATAGCGCTTTGAAAGGGTAAAATGAATAATGAATGTATTTATAAATATAGCTAATATATAGAGAGATCATTAAATAAAAATGTATTGGATATTTCAAAAAAAAAACGGAAATAAAAATAAAGGCTTTGGAATGATGATAAAAAAGGGCAAACATCGTAAGAACAAAGTAAGTAATTGTGTGCTTGATGTTATTCTTGTGGGAAATTGTAGCCTCATGGAGAATAATTCGTAAATAAAATACGAGTTCACATAAATTATCTCCATGAAAATATACAAAAGGAAGGGGCAATTCTATAATGGAATCAAATTTAGTTATAAAGTCCCCCCCCCCCCTCCCTCTCCCTCTCCTCGCAATACGACCTCTCTTTTTCTTTCCTCAAAACTCCAAATATCGTTCATCCTCGTGAAAAGGGCGAGTTCGACCTAATAAAGACATCACAATACGATACCCCTCCTTTAGGATCATAGAATGCGGATTAATCACTTCATCCTGGATGCGCTTTGCCTGCTCAGAAAGAGAAGCTGGCAGTGTCGTCGTTTTCATCGACGAAGACCCCGCATCCTTCGCCGCCTTTGCAGCTTTTTCTTTGTTTCTAAAAGGAATAAGATGCGGCTCCCTGTGAGAATGGGAAGCCACAGCAACGCCCTCTTCGTCCTCCACTTGCACAGGAATCAAAAACCCATCCTCGTCGTCCTCTTCATTGGCGGAATCGCTATCCTGAAGATCACTTCCGCTTAGTAAGGCATCCTCGGCGGTCGTTAGATTATGTAAATAACGACTCCCCTCATTGTGGTCCACTTGGTCCCGTCGTTGGGTACGGGCGACGAGGGTGGCCATGCGCTGGGGGACGAGCACCCTGGCCCGCCGCTTCTGCGCGAAGCGGCAGATATCCGCGAGGCTGCGAAACCCCCGCGCGGCGACCCCTCGCCCGCTGCCTTTCGGCCCTTTGGAATCCCCGTGTAAAGAAACCCCAACTGAAGATGACACAGGCTGTGAAGATGACACAGCGTGTGCAGATGACACAGCGTGTGCAGATGACACAGCGTGTGAAGATGACACAGGCAGTGAAGTATCCCCAGCTAAAGGACCCCCCTGTAAAGGTCCCCCTTGTGACACATCCCCAACTGAGGACCCCTCACGGAGGATGGGCTCAATCACCGTGCGCATCCAAAAGGCGTGATACACCGGCAGCCAGGCCTCCCCGACCTCGCTTTCGCGCAAAAGCCGCCGCGCGAGGTCGCGCATCGCGCAGGGCGACGCGTCCGCCCCCCCGCACGCGATCCCGACCTCATCCTTCAACGACGGGGCGAAAATCACGAGTAACTCCTCCGGGGGGAGGAGATACCGCGCGAGAAAAAGCCCCACCGCCCGGACAACGCGGCGGGGGTGGCGAATAAAATGCGTGCAAAGATCTCCAATCCCGAGTTCGAAGTCGAAAAAAAGCCCGATCGCGAGGAGAAAGGGGCTCGCCTGCTCCGACACGTCGAGGACGCCCACCTCGTGCACGTGGGCTTCACAATAAGAAAGAAGGGCGGTGATACGCGCCAGACGCTGCGCCGCGCTTGCATGAAAAAAACCCGGCGAAGACGCAAAAGACGACGAAGGCACCGCCCCGGTCGTGTGGAGGTCGTTGGGATTCTCCATCGCGTGTTTTTTGGCCTCCTCGATGGCGGGATCGCCCCGCATGCCGGTCTGCATGGTAGAAAAAAGATCCTCGTCGAGGTTCCATCGCCGACGGAGGACCTCACGTTTGTGTAAAACTTCCAGCGCGTCGATCGGGGCCGAGCGGATCGCCGTGGTTCGGAAATAATTAAATACCCGGCACTGCTGAGAGAGCGAAATACACCCATTGCGAAGGCTCATTAAATAAATCTCTGCGGCGATGCGGGAATCTGTGAGATGGAGCAAAAAATACACACTCGACGTGCGCGTTTCCCCAACTCCGATGGGAAATTTCGGATGAGAGCGAACGATCGTGATGGATTGCGTTAACGAAGCCGCCTCCTCGGCACGTAGGCCGTCCGAACTCACTGCCGTAAGATATTTTAATTGCGAAATCGGCTCCGGCATGGGCCCAATCCCGTGAAAATATCCATCGCCGGGGTAAGCTCGGGCCTGCAGCCCTCCTCCCCGCGCAGACGTCTCGCTCCAGTGAAGTCGACGGCGGGTCAGTGGAGAGCAAAGTAAGATAAGTTCAGTTTGAAAGTTTAATAAACACGCCGGCAGGATCTGCGAAGTCCCCGTGTTCACCTCTGACGAATTCGTGGCGTTTGAGATCGAATTCGGATTGGAACCCAAGGGGGATTGCACGGAAACTCCTTCGTGAGAGGAATCCTGAATTATTAAAACGCGCTCTATCGCGCTTGGTGGAACCTCAAGGACGAACTCAGGCCCGCAGAACACATGAGGCTCCATCAAACTGGAAGTTGTAATAGTAAATGACTTTAACAAAAAGAAAAATAATAATTATAATAATGATTAAATGGGAAGTAAAAAAGGAGTAATAGATGGTGATATATATGAACGACCCCTATTGGTTGCGAGTTAGTTTCTTGCTAATTGTTGGTGATGCGGGTGAAACTCGAATTATGTGTCCTAACGAGCACGACGAACCCACAAGGAAGATAAAATAACTAACTCCTTTGACCACACCTTTTTTTTCAAACTAGAAAAGAAATCAAAGTTTGGAAAGATTCAAATCGATTAAAAAAAAAATCACTACAACATTCACAATTAGAAAAATCAGAAAACGCATTCATCGTATTGATCTTTTTTTTATTTAAAAAAATAATATTGAGAAATTCACCAAAAGGCACGAATCCAAACTTACAACGATAAAAAAACCAACAACAGGTATCTGCGCGAATAGTAACACAGCATGATATTAATAAGCGAAGCAAATCGTGAACAGCATGTGTACACGTAATCTAAACGCAGATATCCTCATCATTCTCCCCTCGTTCCTCGGTAGTTGACGCTTTTCTTTGACAACTTTGACCGCATAAATCGTGTGCGACGGTGTGTACATATGTGAAAGAGAGAAAGAAAGAAAAAAGGGGACGCCTCTCACGGCTAAAAATGCATCTTTAGCCCTGAAAACAAGGTTAGAAATTGTCTATGATGCAATGAATGGTACCGCATAGACACTCAGTAATAATATTAATAATATATTACAAATAACTCTATTTACTGCACGAGCAATCGTATTTTCCCTCTTTATTTTTTCCTTTACCCCCTCAATGAACTTCTTGGAGATCCCTCTTTTTTATATATTCGATAGCGCTTTCGTTGTTGGTGTAGTAGTGGCTTCACAGCTTTCCGTATGATTCTGAGAATTATTTTCACAGACCTTTTCATGATTATGATCATTGTCATTAATTACAGTAAAAGGATAGGTTACCATTACACATCGACGAATCGCTTTTTGTAGGGCCTCCGCCCGCAACATGCAGTCTTTCGCGCTGCCATAATGTTTAAAAGGGTTTTCTAAAATTTCCACAAGCCGCTGAATCGTAAACGGGCACTCGAGAAGTTCGCGAAGTTGTTCAATAATGTACGCGTTCTCCTCCTCAAATTGCACGGGCGTCAAGGGGGAGGAAAAGGACGAAACCCCACAAATCTCCATCGCGGTTGCCGCCGTCGTGGGGTTCAACCCTGGTCCACCGCCAGATTTCCCCGAATTCTCCTCCAGGAGCGGATCGCTTTCCCTTCCACTCCTTCCCAGGTGCGAAGAAGACGAGGTGGTAGTTTTTCGAGATTGATGATATTCAGCCTGATGCCGCTCCGCTGCCATCGCGAGCACCTTTTCAGTCACCCCTATGAGCCGATCCAACCCTGTCCCTGACGCCCACGTCGCATTCAAATTCGTCAAATTCTCCGAAATGGACGATGCACTCAGACTGGAAAGAAAAGCCCTTTCCTCCGCCGTGTAGGGGAGACTCGATGAAGACGGGTCACTGAGCTTCGGGTCGTCCCTGTTACTGTTACTGTTACAGTTGCCATTCGTGTTCGGATTGCTAAGGCTGTTGCTGTTACTAGTGGTATTCGCACTGGTATGGGACACCGTATTCCCGTTAGAATTGGTAGAGGTGGCAGTAGTGGTATTGCGGACGCCTGTCAGGGTGTTGGTAATTCCCCGGCGTGTGGGCATCCTTTGGTTTAACTTGGAGGGCCTGAAGAGGAAAGGGAAGGAGGGGGGGGGGAAGATGAATAAATAAATAAATAATAAGCGTTAAGAGGAATCCTCGTCAACGATTTTTAGGTGTGTGTGAATAATGAAACTAGAGGTTGGGGCTAGTAGAAAGAAGGATTTAGGAGAAAAGGGAACGTTCTGCTATTCTACTTTATAGATGTTGATCAACATATGGTATCAAAAGTTTGTACTGCCGAACATGACAATACACTATTGTTACAAATTCCATTCAGGATATTTGAAATTTCATATTATGATTACACGTAAGAAAGAAAACAAACCAAAATCGCCTAAATAAAACCTCCATACAATCCACAGGTAGAGCAACTAAATTTAAAAAAAAAAAAATACGTTCATCGAAGATTTACGATTCCACGCAGCTCGTTCTTTTTTTTGGGGGGGAAAGAAGGTCTATATGTATATATTGCCCTAACGGCGATGAGGAGTTGGGGTTTGCAGCGGCGTCATTAACGGCATCGTACCTACCATGGGAGCACTATATGGAATAAGATCATCCGCAAGATCGATGTGAGAAAGAATCATCCGACGGCAGCAATAACGCTCTAAATTTAATTTATTCAAAGCCTCGGCCTCAGTATAATCCTCATCCAAAAGAGCCTGATATTGCTCATAAATGTGCCCTATAACTTTCCCACAAGAATAGCACCGTACGGGGATTATCATTTTATTTTTATTTAATGAAAGAAAAAAGAGAGATATAGAATTACCCTTACTTTCTTTTCGGAGCTTTGGAGACAAATAACTTACTACTGAGCAAAGATTATATATATATCACGAAAACTCAACAAGGATAATGGATCGAAAAAAACATTGAATAAGAGGAAAAAAGATACACTTACAAGATGCTCTCAAATGAAAAATAAAGAAGATGAATTATCTCTTTGGTAATATTTATTATTAACATCACTATTTGAGATATTGGGTATTTAGTTATAATATTACCCACAACATAATGGAAGCCACTTCACACAAAAAAGTGGTAACATTGGATAGGGTATCAAACCTGAAAAATACTAAAGGCTGACTTCGACACCATGGTTGTGGGAACGATAAAAATTCCTCGTAAAATACACTTTTACCCTATAAAGCAAATGGTAATGTAAGTCTATACGAATACTCTGATAGCATCGTTGGTAAGTAAGAGATATATTTTTCCTTTTTTTCTTGGCCAATCTTAACACCAAAGACAACAATAATGATAATACTAATAGCAAATAAAAACTAAATGATTCTAATCTCAATCGGCCTCGTTCCCCCTCTTCCTGAGGGAAAAAAAGCAGCATGGTGTTTGATTATTATTGATGTTGTTTATTTGATTGTTTCTTTGTTTTTTACTTGTTTCGACTCTTTGTGAGGGGTGAGGGAAAGGGAGAGGTTTTCCTCATCATTTCGTTTTCGATCCCTATCTCACAAAAAGTAATCCGGGGTTTTCTTCGACACTTGCGCCTCCCCACGCCGCGGGGCCGGGTCGAATTGAAAAAAACATTTATTCATGTGCTCATCCAACTCCAACAGCCCCGCCAGGTTCCCACAGCGATAGCAATAATTCGGCGCGCTGAAGATGGTGACCAAGCGCTCCTGATGGGCCCAACTATAGCCATCCATTACGAGTTGATGGGCCCGTGCGATGGTTTTGAGGCCATTATTATGGCAAAACTGCTCCGTCATGTCGGCGCCAAAGGTAAATCCGGCGCCACGGGGGCTGATCCCCCACCCGTCCCGCTCTTCCGGGTCGGACCAGAGCAAATCGCACATCGGCCCCTCATGCGGGACCTCCTGCCGACGATCCAGGCTTTGGATGTGTGCGAGGGAGTCCAAGGTCGGGGAAAGGCCACCGTGCAGACAAAAAATTTCCCCCGCCACCACCGCCGAGAGCGGCAAAAAGTCAAATAAATCCGTCAACCCTTTCCACACACTCGCACTGCCGTATTTTCGCACACATTCGTCGTAAAACCCATAAACCTGGGTGATCTGGCGGGACTCGTGATTCCCGCGGAGGATGTGCATTCGCTCGGGATAACGAATTTTATACAACAACAACAACGTCACCGACTCCACACTGTAGTAGCCCCGATCAACATAATCCCCCATAAAAAGATAATTCGTATCGGGTGGGAGCCCGCCGATCTTAAAAAGCTCCAACAAATCGTGAAATTGCCCGTGAACATCGCCGCAGATGGTGATGGGGGCGTGGACGGTGTGCACGTTGGCCTCCGTTTGCAGGACTTCCTTGCCTTTTTCGCAGACTTGGAGGATCTGGCGCTCGTTGAGGGGTTTGCACTGCAAGACGTAGGCGATCATCTCATCGAGGTCAAATTTGGTGGGTTCACCACTCGAACCAGGAGAAGGGGCCGGGAGATCCGCCATGAAAAATAAAATAGGACGTCCGCTTTTGTTTATTCGGGCTTTTTTATTATCGTGGTTAGGATATATATATAGAAATATATAGATTGATAAATGGGGAGGAATACACTCACACTTCTTCTGTAGGTATACTATATATATACATATATAGATATAGGTGCTTTCAATTTCGAAGGAAAAGTGTGTGTAAAGGATCCACAATTTTTCACTTTCGACGTAAACTGATGCTTACTATATATATATATATATACTATTCTCACAATTTATTTTTAAAGTGATGAACTTTAGTTGGATTCTAGATTCTATCTTCAGTAAAATTATATCCTGCCTCGTCTCCAGTAAATAAATTTTCAGTCTGTTTGGCTTCCAGGTGGGTAGGCTTCGCAGTGAAAGGAGCGATAGAGATTAGCAGGTCGCAAAACTAAAAATTCTAAAGCTTAAAATGAAGTGACTTATTTGCAAAATGCCAGAAAAAACAATAGCAAAATATGCACTTAAACTGTATGAAAATAAAAAGCTATTCAGAAAAGGTAATATTTATCAGTTATAGACTTATTTTTTCTTTTAGAAAGGAATAAATATATTTAAAAGGAAAGAATAAGAAGGAGTGTATTAATAATAAAAATAGAGATGAAAAAATGAAAAGATATGCACATGCACAACATTTCACGACAAAAAAAAGTATTGATGTCGATAACACATAGGTAAAATATTGTAGTATTGCGTTTAAAAATATTCGGATGCCCGCATAAAACTCACAGACAGGAATATCATTCTAAAAAAGGAAACATTTAAACATGATGAGTTCTTGTTGTCGGCGGTCATGTTGGGTGTGTGTTTGCCTGTTTTTCTATTTTCTAATAATTTAACCATTCATTCTCATCAAAATCAGTTATTTTCAGCGTGCTATCGGCCGTAATCCACTCTTCCACCGGATCCATCGACCTCTCCCCTATCCCCTGCCGAGCCTGCACCTCACTCGCGGCAAGCAAAGCGCTTCGGGCGGGCGAAGGTGAGAAGCCTCGGACGCGGGTATTCATCTGAACAATAATGGCCGGCGGGGAGACCGATTTCTCGCGTGAATTCTCCTCCTTTCCCTCCACAAGAAATTCACCTTTCTTCTTGCGTAAACCCTTTCCGGATGGAACCCCTGCATTGATGTCCTCGGTGCTGACGCCCGGACGGCGTCGTTTACGCGTGATAAGATGTGCGCGCTCCAGCCTTGTCTGCAAACGCTGCTCGACCGCCAATCGACGGTGATGGGAATGCAGTCTTCTTTCCTTCACGGCGCGTTGTTTTAAATGATGGATGAGAGACCCCCAGTGCAGGAGCTCCCCGCAAAGCGCGCACGGACGCGGCTGCGTGGGCACCAATGTGGATCTCGCCCGCGATAAACCCGACCATGATGTCGGGTTCGCGGCCATCCCCCCGATCATCGCTTCCGCTGAGGTTAATAAAGAAGTGCTTGCCGCGCACTCTTCTTTTCCTTCGGCTTTTTCCGTTTTTTGCATCCTCGACACCTCGTTAGGGCCTCGTCGGGTCTGCATCCACATCGCAAGGCATATAATATGCGCGGTGAGTCCGCAAAATGGTGCGCGAGGGCAGCGCATGAAGTAGGGCTCGCGCAGAGGAAGTGCGCAAAAGGTGCAAGTGAGCAGCCCACGCCGTAAAAGCGCCGCTTCGGCCAAATACTCCCGCGCGAAATCGCTCTCGGCGTAGTATTTAAACCGTAGCGGTATCCTCGGCCACTTCACAAGGGTTGGGGAAGCTAAACCCGTCCTTTGCTGTGTAGAAAGAAGCGGCGACGTCGAGGAGAAAGAAGAGGAAAGAGAAGGGGAGGCCGTGTAGCTGCGATCTGGGGCCTGGCTGCTCCGCCGAGATCTCGCAGGTGGGGATACGAATCCATAGCTATTCCCCTCCTCGTCATCGCTGTTATTCTGCACATTCGCGTGATACTCTTCAGAATTGTGGTGGTGAAGAAAGGCTCTTTCTTTGGGTGAATCCCAAGTGGGGACTCCCTCGCTTCCGCGCGAATTCTCCTCAAAATCCAACTCCTCCTGTACGGTTTGCGAAAGCATGCTAAGGTCATACGGGCAGGATAGCGGACTATTCGCGGACAGAAACGAATTCGAAGCGGATTCATGTGAAAGATACTTCGACTGGAATTCATTTGGGGTGATCTCTTCAATATGAAGCAGGGCGTGCGGGGTGAGCGGGGCGAGCGATGCGTCCGAATTCAATCCCGCAGAAGCCCCCGCGAGGGCGATCGCCGCAGCGTGGTGAAAAAGCTTCTCATCAATGACGTGGAGGCTGAGCTCAAGCCGCGCGAAGAGTCGTGCGCGGAGCAGCATATGCAGGACGCCGATGGCGTAAGGCAACCCGCGCAGGCCGTGAAAGTGGATGGGAAGGATCTCCCGCAGTCGTGCGGACTCCCGCGGGTGCTGCCAGCCCCACTCAAACTTCAACGCGGCGTGATCGTCTGGGAAGCCAGAAAGGCAACAAACGAGGGCCCAGGGCCGTCCCCGCCGTCGCGTCCGCTTCGCACCGTTGACGAGCTCTCCGTTATGCTGCCGAAGCCGCCGCAGGGGGTTGAGGGTGTAGCCGATGTAACAATCCCCCTCACAAAGCCTATCCAGGCTGGTGAGGAGGTACACACAGTGAAAACGGGTGTCCATATGTAACGGGAAAGAGAAGGGAAAATAAGGGGAGGGAAGGCGCGTGTCTGTGTCAGTCTGTGTGAATACGTGTGGATCTCAACCCCCTAGAGTATTGAGAGACAAAGGGAGCGTGTTGGTGTCAGTGTGTTGTGTATGTGGGAAGGGATGGGTCATATGGAGAGGAGGGGGGGACTGTGTCAAAAACGTAATGGCTGTGTTTGTTATATGCCGCTGTTGTAAAGTCAGGGGGAAAAAAAAGGAAATATGAGAAGACACCCCCTATGAAAAGAAAGAAATCTGGAAAAGTAGAAAGTGAATGGAACCTTAAGTTGATTTAAAAGAAATCATTAGCTCTGTGAAGCCCAGATTTCTGTAGCTTATCAAAACACCCCCAAAAGAGGTGTGAAATACCAACCTTTAACACAAGCCCATGCAAGAAAAAGAATATGGTAGTACGGATTGAAAAACTCATGCCGTTAATGCGATAGCAATCGGATTAAAAGAGTGCGTTTAGATTTTTATACACACAAAGTATGAAACAAGACACAAATTCAAATGGGATTTATACTTTTATCCTCAACACTGAACCACCCGCATCGTCTACCTCTCCTCTTTCTTGCTTCCGTGATATTTTCACTAAATAATACTGTTTCGCACTTTTGTATGAAGCTGCGATAGCCACTCGTCATAGCTACACATACTCGACTCCTTTTCCTCTTTTAGCTGCTTAAAGAACGCCTCCTCGGAGCGCTCCCCCTGGTGAATCACAACGAGCCGCCGCATCCCGTCTTCGCGGTAAGTTAACGCGCAGATGATATTTTGAATACGCGGGTCAAAGTTATCAAAAGTCGCACTGCCCTCACCGCGGTACACCATTTCTACATCGGGAACCCCAAAAAGAAGCTGGGAAACCTCCGGGGTGACTTTTGAGCCGATCCACATATAAACCACCCGTACCTGCTCATCGCTGAGCAAATACACCCCGCAGGTTACGATATTATCATAAATCAACTGCAATCGTGGGGGTAAATTGCATCGCTGCGTGATTTCATTAATTACGCCATATCCAGAGCCCTCACAGATAGTATCGTGCAGGCTGTAGAGCGCGGGGTAAAAGTAGGAAAGAAGGTGATTCATGGGCATGGAAAGAAGCTTAAAAACATTGCTGCTGCGCTCATCGATTCGGACGCCGGTCCCCTCCGCCAGGGCGTCGGACTTCAGTAAACATAAAATATAAAGCGCGAGGAGCCTTAAACGAGAAGGCATAAGCAACGCCTTGGAATTCGACATCTTTGTGCAAAACCGGCGGTAGTTCGCGAGGGAGTTGACGAGGTGCACATTTAAATACTCCCGGGCGTGTTTTAGGCCCTTGTTTACGGCCTCATCCAAGGATTTGTAAATGAATCCCGCCAAGACCGCCTCGAGATCGGAACCGGTGAAAGCGTGGGAGAGGTTGTTTGCCGTCGTCGCGCGGACCGATTGGATTCGGACGCGTCGGCTCCCGCCGCGTGTGGTGTACAAAAGGGCAACCTGAAAGTAGGCGTAGGCCTGCCTTTCCAGCTCGTCCTCGTGAGCGAACTCGACAAAAAACGTGGACCCCCCGCCGATATTCGGCAAATCCATATCGTGCACCGTTTGCGAGAAGAAATGGCCGTGATAGCGCTGAACGGTAAGGCCGGAACTGCAGCGCACGCGCAGGATGCCGGCGTAGCCGGACTCATCCGCGGCGATCTGCTCCATCAACGCCCGCACTTTTGTCCCGTCGACGTCGGGGTCGTAATTTGAAAAGAGATGAACCCCCCCGTTCGTGAGGTGGGCAAGGTAGGACAAGGTCACCAGCTCGCAGTAATTATTAAAAAAAAGAAAAAGATCGAAGGAGATCTGCTGCCGCGCGGCGGCCACCGCGGTGGTCTTCCAGAACCCCTCGATCGGCCGCAGGAGCTCCTTTTCGTTCTCCACGTTCGCGAGTTTGAACTGCTCCCGCGGCGTGATGGCGCCGAGGCCGGTTGGGGGATATTGATGGGCGCAGAGAATCACCCGCCCGCCATGCTGCCCGGCGAGGACAAACATCGCGGCCTGCACGGCGGCCCCCACCACACACCCCGTTTCTTGCAAATCCCCCGCGTACTGCAAAACGCTTCGCAAAAACCCGCGAATCGTCTCCAGCTCCGGCCCCACCTCCAACCACCCGACGGTCGCGAAGGGGATCGGGACGAAGGGGCTGTCGACGTCCGAAACGCAAAACTGCGGGCGGCGGGGGTCGCGAAAGTGGTAAAAATGGAGCCGCGAGGCAAACGTAATAAACGAAACCCGAAGTCGGGGATCTCCCGCGGCCATCCGTTCCACCGCCCCTTCCAAGGCCTCGACATAGCGCGGCAAAAACGACATCAACGCGGCCTTCGAAACGTCGATCAGAAATAAGTAATGCAGCGGCCTTGACGGGATCACCTCGTTTTTGTCGGAGTACAACAAATACTCGGGATAGTCATCCACCACATACTCCACGGCCCCCCGACAGAGCTCCGGCCTCGTCATGCGATCCACCCGCTCTCCTTTTCCGTCCAAATTGCAAAAAAAAGACTCCTCGACGGGGTTCACCATCCCACACAACGGGCATTGCCACTTTTTTCCCATTTCGACGAACTTGGTATGGCAGGAAAGATAACCCCGACAGCGCTGGCAGCGAATGGGCGGGCGATCCTTCACCAACGGCATCTTTTCCGCCTCGTGAAGGGGCTGGTGGAGGGGGGAAAGAACCGCACCAAAGGGGATATTCGCGTCGTTGAATTGCGTTTTGTTGAGAAAAACGGGATTTTGCGTTAGGCGGATGAACTTCGCGTTCGCATTGCCGTCATCGAGGCCGACAAAATCCACGGAAGAGAAGGGCTGAAGGGCGGCGCTCGTGTGGATCTCCTGAGGAATGGTGGTGTAGACAATGTCCCGCGAAGGGTTCGGCGCGGAGCAGATATCAACCGAGCGATTCGGAACGGTACGCGGGTGATAAAGCTTTTCGGCATTCAACGGCTTATTTTTATCCACCGCGTTCATCCCCGACGCCGGGCCCTGGGAACTCGATATGGGATTCGCGTAGGCGTTATCCTGGGGTGAACCCACCGGCGGATTGGTGGAGTTTGTGGTCGTGTTAGGATAACCCACGGAAGACGAACTGGGGATTGGGTATTGAAGTTGGTTGGGGGCCGTATAATACCCGCCACCCTCGCCCCCCACCGACGTGCGGAAAGCAGAGGCCATACCGAGGGCACTGGACTCACGATAAAGGGTGGTGGCCTTCGAATTGGGGTGTTGGGTTGGTTTCGAAAAGTTATCAGGGGTGGAATAAGCAGCTGAATTATTAGAAATGACATTAGCGTATCCACTTGCCGCTGTGGTGGGGACAGGCTGTTGAAGTTGATCATACAACGAGGTGGTGGTTGGGTTGGAGGTTGTATTATACAATCCCATCGAAGTTGCCCCGCCCGCCATCGCGGGAGGCTGGGATTGTGAATTGCCAAATGAATAACTCGCAGTCCCCGCGTACGAGGCATACCCGACAACCCCTTGCGAGCCCGTCCACGCGGGATTCTGCTCTCCCCACGCATTGGAGCTACTTTGCGCCTCATAAGAGCCATAACCGGCATACCCACTCTGGTTAAAATACTTTGGATCCGACATCGGCCCACACCCAAAATCGCTAAACCTTATAAAGGAAAATATTGCCGTGCGAGGAACAATAAATAAAATAAATAAATAAACTGAGAATAAACCTCAAAGAAAATAACCGGCTCTTTATACCCGTTACCTTTTCTTTTTGCGTTTCACTCTTCCACAAAATTATATATTAAAGGAAATAATGGACCTACTCTGTAATAACTAAATATTGAGAGACAGTGCCTTGAAATGAGAATGTGAAAGTACAAGGAAGCAAGGCACTTAGCAAATCAAGGCAAAATTCAAAAGTGATGCGATAAGTAAAAAAAAAGGTACGACAACCTTTCCTTTCAGAGAACCAGCAGCAGCCTTTTCCAACCTCTGCTTATCTTTAAAATTTCCTTCATTTGGAATAGTTTACATAATGGTACAAGTCTCACAATAAAGTCAAATGTAAGTGCAGTACATCAAAGTGATGCCGTAATCACAAACGCAGACCAACGTTTCAGCTTAGGACCGTTCCTTTACTTTATTCCTTCATTCTTCACGATTGAACCAGTGGAAGAGAAATTGGGAACATACTGTGTAATTTGTAAATACATTTGTGGACATAATGAGAGTGCACTAAGAAAAATAAAAAAGTGAGAGCGGTTTTCACTCTCAGAGTGCAAATAAGCCTCTTTCACAAAGAATAACAGGGCTAATAAAAATACAGCTACAACTCGGTATCACGACTAATACCTATTAGCTTAATGGCAATCCCCGAGGGCTGGTGATTCGCTAGAACGACAAAAGTACATTCATAGACAATATTGGAATACGCTTTAAAGACGACATCAACCACAGAAGAGCCCGGCTGTCCCCCCGCGGTAGCCGCAGGGACCCAACCTTTAAGCGGGGATAAAACAAAACGCTCGGCCGCCGCCTTTCCACGCACCACAGTCGTGGTCGCCGCCGTGAGATATCCCTGAACCGTCAGACTATGTCTATTTGCCATGGCAGGAGTCGCATTAGAAATGGCATTCGTCGTCGTACCAGATTCGCCGTCCGCTAATAAAAATATCGGACTGGTGGACATGTTATGAAGCGCGTCAATTTTTTCACGAATATCGTGTTTGTCCGCGACTATCGCGCAGGAATGGGCAGTCGTCTTGGCCGAGCTCGTCGCGGTCTTTGATTCATCATTTTCGCTCGCGTGGGAGTCGGCTGTGTTGGGCAAAGCGATCGAATCAGCCGACATCCCATCCGCCAGGATCATCTCGTACTCCACTGCAATACTCGCATGGTTGTATAAGGTAATATGTTGGGTATAGCTCAGCTGCGCGCGGCCGTCGAGGATGATATTGCCCGGACGAAACCAAAGCGACGAGACGTCGGAGGATAAATTCGGCACCGCCAGCGGGACATGAAATCGAATCTCCTGCACAGGGGCCCGCTCAAGCGCAAACGACGCTGTCAATCCCCTGGAGTTTGGCGAGGCCGCCGCGAGGCCGCCGCCCCCGAGCGTACTACACGCCCCCTCCGACGGAACAAACTCCACCCGCACGCCCCCCCACACATCCCGAACTGAAGTCCCAGGCGAGAGCGAAAATCCCCTCCCCGGCGGCCAATACGCCAAGGTGACGTCCAATGACTCAAAACTGCGTAATTCATAAATCACCTTTCCCGGGGCTCCAGAGGGCCCTATAGAATGAACGCGATGGGGCCCTTTCCCTAAAGCCCCCGTTGACGTTAAAGACCCACCATTTAAAGGCGTGGGTTGGGGTTTGCCCTTTGTCGTTGAGCGCTTCCGCCCCTCGGAATCGGCCTCCGGCTCCTCCTCACTACGAAGCCGCTCGACGGATACCACAGTGAAGCTTCCATAACGCGCACTTTCCCCCTCCATCTTCGAATTTTTGCCCGTAAATAGGTGAAAATAAAATCGCAGCATCGCAGTATTGCGATTCATCACGCGCATTGTCCGAAAAACGGGCTTTCCGTCGTTGAGATAAGCCTGAAATTCGACCTGCGAGACGGGGGGTGTCAGCATCAACCGCGGAACCCCACAACGCGCCCGAAGCCGCAGTTCAATCGGGTTAAAATACCGCTGACTCTCCTCCGTCAGCTCCGAACGACGCCGTTTGAGGTAGGCGAGCAGCTCCCCGCGCTCGCGATCCTCGGCGAGGAGAACGGAAAGCGGCCGCGATGGACGGCCTCCCACGTCCTCAAAGAGTTGGGCGCTTTTTGAATTATTCGGGTTGTTATCGGGCTCCGTATCGGAATCCCTCTCCGTGAGGTCATCCTCGCTGCCATCCACCACAGACTTCTCCGCCAACGTGGGAGGATTGCGAGAGGAACTCAGCGGAATCGACTCCTGCACGGCGGTCTCGCGGTGGCTGGGGACAAGCCCGTCGAGGAGTTTTTTTTCCTTCATCAAGAGGGCTACTAATTTGCCGAGTCGCACGACCTTTCCAGGGCGTGTACGTAGTGGTTGAAATAACTGTAAGACCGGCACCAATCGTAAGGAAGTGGGAAGTACCGCAGCGGTCTCCTCTAAATCCAAGTTCTTCTTTTGTAAAGCGCGCAAGGGCATCTTGGAGCTGATCTTTTGCGCCCCGCCCCCACCTTTTTCCGCAGTGGCGGCGTAGCGTCGGAGCAGTCGTTTGCTGGGGTACACCGCCTGGTTTTGCTCGTAGAACTCGTCGATGAGAAAGATGTCGTTGAAAGGGCTTTCCGCCAGCTTGCAGTTGATCACAAGGCAACCATTCCACTCCTCCTCTTGCGAGGACTGCATTAACACGAGTCCATCCTCTTCCTCGTCCATGTGATCATGGCTACCCATCCGCGCACTGTTCAAACTACCTCCACGGGGGGAGCCGCAGGTGCGTCCTATATCCCCATCTCTATTAGAATCTTTCTCATGGAAGGAGGTGCAAGGCATTAGACGCTCCACAAACTTTGCGTTTGGCGTGTATTCGATGTAAATCTCCTTTGTGGATAACGCCGGCATGTGAAAGGAGGACGGCGTCGCCGCGGCCGCGCCGTAGCGCTCCGCGCTGTTTTGTTTAACCGAGTCCGAAACGCACTCCAACGTCAACACCACCCGCGAAGCATCCTCCTCCTCGTTCACCGCCAAGACGGTGAAGCTCGAAGTGTTGAGATGAACCTCGACGCTCGCGCAGACCTCTCGCGGTAGGCGATTAATCACGCGCAAAACGCGATGGGAGCTTCCTAAGAAAGCCACCACCGGCGTCATCAAAAGGATGTCGTGCGCGTTTTCGTCCTTGGTCAGACCGGCGGTGGTAGGGTCCAATAACAGCGGATGCCCTGACACCTCCCACTGGAGCCCGACGGACGTCTGCGGGAGCCCCTTACACTCGATGTTTAGCGTATTGGTGTATCGCCCGGGGAGGTTGGCGTGGAGAGCGAACGGCAACACCACCTCCTCCTGCGGCCCAATCGGGGCCCCGGCTTCCACAGAGGGGGGCCGCGCCACGCAGGCGCCGCGGCCGTCCACCAAAAGACGCTGCGCGTCGGCCAAGGCGGCCTGTTCGGCCCGCCGCTGCGCCGCCACGCCGTTCACCGCTGTTGTCCAAAACCCAAATTGGGCGGACTCCAACCACGTCCGCATCAGTGCCGAGACCTGTCCCGTGTGAAGGGTCCCCACACTCGCTCTCTTCCGACACACCAACGAAGACGCCGAGGAGAACCCTTGCGCGGTGGCACCCCCTTTGGAACAGACCTTCCCCCCTGAAGTCCCACTTAAAGTCGCCTCTATCGGCTTTACAGACTCTTGTAACAGCTTTACAGACTCTTGTAACGAGTTAATTGGCTTGTGTAACGACTTTACAGACTCTTGAAACGGGTTTACAGACTCTTGTAACAGCTTTACAGATTCTTGTAATAGGTTAATTGGTTTGTGTAACGAGTTTACCGTAAGAGGGGGAAAGAAGGTCAGGGTACCCCCTCTTTTGCTGTGGTTCAGGGGACCCAACAAAGAGGAATCGCCCTCATCCACCCATATCACCCCACGGGTCGTGCATTTGGAGTAGTTCGTAAACTTCACCATCAACGTCGCATTGCAGACGGGTGAGTGGTCGGGGAGGTGGGTGTGCAGCTGTACATTCTCGCAAAATGGGCGAACCACAACCCCGCGGAAGCTGTCAGAGTGATCAACCGAAAGCTGAAAAGGTGCACCGGCGTCGTGGCAGGGTGAAGTGGGATCGACAACTTGAACATAGTGATTCGCAGATGGCCTCCTCTGCAAATCTACAGAATGTAAGGCGATTTCTAACGCGTTGAGTAAAAGAATGCGTACGTACTTCGTGGGGGTCATCCCAAATGAGGTCCCGTTGGTTGACGTATCACCGTCATGACGTATCCCTTCCTGAGAGTTTGAGGCCGCTACGACGTCAACAGAAACGGAAAGTTGTTCGATTGTGGTGGCATAAACCTTTACGAGGAGTACCTGTTGGGTCTGCTCAGAACGAAGCTCGATATGGGCGCAATACACGTCTAAATTCTCCTTTTCCTGCGGGTTGTATAAAAAACAGGCGCGTATTGGGACCTCCATATGCACCTGTCCAGCACATAACACAAGATCTGACGCGTACTCCAGTCGAACCCACGGAGTCTGAGCCGACGTAGTCGCCATAGCAAAAGTAATGTCAAAATTGCTATTGTTTGACAGATAAAAAGCGCGCTCCTGCCAGACTCCTTCCGGCACGTTGAAGCCGAAATCCACCACGGGCTCATCCAAAACGATCTGGGGATTTTGCACAATAGCATGGGTCTCGATCACGATGGCGACACCGCCCTGCACCACCACCTCAAAGAAGGCTTCCGGGATATCAAGATGGATGCCGTAGCGATAGACCGTGATATCAGCGGAGTCGTTTGCTAAAATCTGAATCGAAGTTGGGGAAAACGTAAAACGTGGTGGATTGCAGAACATGGGATCCTGAAAGCGGCACATCACGGGCACCCGATTCGAATTCGACACGGTGAAAGTGGCGGCATGCTTGGTGTCTACTTTGATAACGCCAAAATCTAGGAATTGCGTGTTTGTATGCACCATGGGGCACACGCCCTTGACTTTAAGGACCAACTCATGGCAAGATTGGAGCTCGGGAACCGTGCACTCCAGCGTTTTGTGGTGGATCCCAGCTATGTGGGAGATAAAACTGACCTCGATATCTTGCTGGCCATAGGGTGCAATACAGCCCTGACGAGGCCGGCACCATGTCGATATCGGGTCCTTTTCTGGCTGAAATAGCTCCCCCTGTCCGCTGATCGGCATTGCGGGAACCCCTATTTCACTCGGCTTAAGGGTAATCTCCGGGGTATTCCATACGAAGTGCAGGGCGCGTGGAGAAGGGTTCTGCAATATCACCCCGCGGCTGACCTCGATCCCCGTCAAGGACTCAAACGTGCCGTCCAGGACGCCCGAAATCAGCTTTAGGGACGGGTCCGCGGGAAAGGCAAAAAGGTAAAAACCGGTCGAAAAAACAAGATCCTGCAGATGTGAAGGTTGGGGTATAGTGTGGGCCTGGAAGAACGCAAAAGGGTCCATCAACGCGCAGTCCATGGCGGATGCGGCAAAAGCCCCGTCCGAGGCCACCGCCTCCTCAGCCCAGGGCTGTGCAGGCTGAACGGTTAGGGTGGCCGAGGGGATCTGCGCGTGGCGATCGTAAAGCGCGGCGATCCAAGAAGGAATCCGCGCGAGCTCGGCTTCAGAGACCTGTGTGGGGTCAGGAAGACCCTCTAGGAAAAGATTACACGATATGGCCAGCCTCCCCGCGACCAACGGGTTCACCGAAACCGTAAACACGCTTTCCTCCATCGCCGCCATGGTTCCACGCGCGGGCTGGATCGTGGCGATGGATGCAGGGGCGTCGAGGGGTGAACCCCCTTCCGCGTTTCTAACCGCGTTCATCCTGTCCCCAGCCCCACCGCAGACCTCCAAAACCCAGCGGTAGGCCAGCGGGAGAGAACAGCTGTTGAAGACGCGCACGGCCAGCGTGGAGCGCACCTCCGGGCAGGTATCGGGAATAAAATAGCGTGGGATGATCTCCTCATCAAAACCCTCCATTTTCGGTGGTGGCTCAGAAAAATCGGTCGGTGAGTCGTGCGGTAAAGTCATCTCACCGATCTGTCGGACCGCCACCCGCGGCACGATCGACGTCCCACGCAAAGGGAAGCATTGTTGAACCAGCACTAGATTATCGCCCTCGCCAATCCCTCGCCCGGCTTCCGCGGATTCCACCTCCGATGGCGGATTCTTCCAGACGGTTAACACCAGCTGCCCATCGCAAGGATCCTCCCACGCCATGGGGCGAAAAAGGATGGAAATATCCACCTCCGCGGCATGCGCGAGCGGGATGGGCCCGGGAGGGTTAATCGCGTAGGCCGCCGAAGTGCAGGTCAAACTCACCACGGCGTCGGACCCGACGTTGACGAGACGGTAGCGCTGCGTGATGCCGCTCAGGACAAATGTCGGGGGGAAAACGCACGCATCCAGCGGTGCGGAAGTGGAAAGAAAGGGCGGGGTGTGGAGGGTCAAGGCGCCGGCGGCCTTGGAAATCCCCTCGGGGGAAGGTCCTCGGCGGGTTCGGGTCTTTAGTCGGGCCGTGGACCCCGCGGCGCATCGGGCCTCCACGGGTGAATCATCCCCAACCCCCCCTCGGCCCCTTTCGCGGCCGGTCTGATGGGGTTCGCTAAACTGAAGGATGGACCGCTGCTGGGGAGTTTTGGAACCCGCACAATCCGCCTCCCCCCCCTCCCCTGGCAGACCCGCCGGGTGGAAGAGCTGAAAAAACGGAAGGATCGTCTCGCAGTTCACGTCAACCTCGAAAAACTTCCACTGGGCGCCCTCCATCGAGAGCGAGTTCAGCTCGCGCGTGATGCCGATGGAAAGGGTAGACGCCAGCCTCGCGATGGAGGCGTCCCTGGGGGTAAACCCAACCCGGACCTCAATATACCCCCCACAGCTGAGGAAAATCCCCTCCGCGGGCTCGCCAGGGCGGGTGGAGGCGCCTTTGATGGAAGGATCCCGCCGGGTCCGCCGGGTCGAGCCCGCCACAGGGGCGAAGTGGCTGCCGTCGAAGTCCAACCACGGGTGCGTCGGCGGCTTCACGCGAACCCGCACCCGGCGCTGATCGCAGTTGGTGAATCGAACCACCACACTCGCCGGCCGGCCCGCGACGCTTCGCAGGAAAACCGCGCGATCGGGGGCCGAGCACTCGATTCCCATCGAAAACCGCCCTTTTCGCCCCCCCTCCCGCCCCTCCGGAGGGGGGGAGGGCCGCCATTGGACGCCCTGGGCAACCCCGGGACGTCCGCTTCGCCGCTTTCCCGCCCGGCCCCT